AACACGTTACACGCAAGTGAAACACTAAAATTCACCCATTTATTATTCTGATGAAGTAAAGTAATTAGACTCGCTCTACTAAACACTGCCAGAAGCCTGAAACCATCCCCTACATGGGGTAGGTTATTCATGACCTTCGACTTCAATAATGAGGGAAATTCAAGCTGTTGCAGAACATTGAGGTAACGTATGCATTTTGTATATCGAATTTAAATTATCTCGTACTCTCAATTTGTCTCCGTATTGAGTTTCTAACGTAATAAATTCAGGTTTTCGGATATCAAGGTTTTTAGCGATTCCTGCAGGGTATTTTGTTGAATTAAACTACAAAATAGAAGCAAAGGCAAACAGTGGTAAATATGCGACACACTTTTTCAAGGTAAAATTTAAAAAATATCTCATAATTGTTACTTTTTTCGCCAGTAATGAAAAATAGTTTCTTCCCCAACGTTTCAATTGCTAAATAACTGAAAATTCATACGTTTTTCTTCAGTGAAAGCTTATTTTTCTCTTTAAGTTACGTTGAGTAGTTTACTTTTCACATCTCTTTAAGTCCAACATTCCAATTTCCTAAATATCTTCGACGCTTGCATTTTCTTTACCAGAAAAATCAACTTTACAATACAGTTGACTTCAGTAGGAAAAATACATAATGTATGAGAAGTATGTCTGCAACCAAAATTAAAACGCCAGACGCATGTTTTACTTGTATTTAGCTAGTATGATTTTTATCTTTCAAGATCTGGAGGAGACTTTGCAGGTTGTGAAGCCTTTCTAGTTACTAATCTATCCTCATAATTTCTCCAATATAAGTGAGAAAATAATTCATTTCAACTTTTTGCACTTACATTTCATTTGTCTTAACACAGTACATTCAAGTAGGAATGTTGAAGTATGTTTAGAAATGATTTATTCGAAACAATCGGTTACAGTAAGGAAGATCAAAACATTCATGTCGAAGTCAAACATCTCCGTGATCATTAAGAGTCCATATTTTCACCAAGTGGTTTTTAAGACTAGATAATAATCGACAGGTAAAGCGAATTATATATAAAGCTTTTACTATGGATATGTTACAACATCAGGTGGAATAATAATTTTAGATAAAATCTATAGCTGCACCTTTAGAAAACATAAAAAAGAATGGTTAGTGTAGATGATTGTTTACATTACCTTTCCTCTATAGCTGTTGTCTAACTTTATAAAAAGCAACCTCATGTTACAATGCAAATTTTTTAAAAAAAATATCTTTTGTAAACACACCGATGTAAACTTGTATGTTGATACACTTGTAGAATAACAATAATAAAAACCTCTTATTCTTTAATGGAATCCGTATTTACAAGCCTAATTTTATACAAAGTTTTAAGTACAATGAGATTAGTGAACGGTTTGGATTTCAATACAGACTAGATTGTATTCTATTAACATCTTTGAGTTGTCGTTGATAAGCTTGGTTACCTTAGCCATATGATATGTACATAAAGCATCGAAGAAATCTGAAATTTTGCAAATCTGTCCTTCTTATGTTCACGTTAAAGTCATGTTTCTAAGGTTTTCGAATTTTTCGTCAGGTGATAGTGAGGAAACAAAATTGATAATCTGCCGATGTTACCTAACATAGTATTTAAGGATTCTCTCTGCTTAATATTAGCGATCAATTTAGGAACACCTACACTACAAGGTTTCGTAAAGTTGCATTCATTACCACTAGTCTGTATGTATGAAAACAATTGCTCATAATTTACTCTGTTAATTCATTGCCACTTGACCTTGATAAAATTCTTAGTTTAACTTCTTAATAGAAATATAAAAGAATTATAAGTTTACATAGCTTCTGAAGGTGTGTTGCCATCAGTTTAAACTTTAGGTAAACAATCTTGGTAAATCCAGTCCTCATCTTACTTACCCAAGCCTGTCACCCGCAATGGAGCATAGGCTGCCGACCACTATTCTCCAACCTACTCTGTCTTGGGCTTCCCTTTATAGTTCTGTCCAATAACGGTTCATTCATCTGTGAAGTCTAGATCGTCCAGCTACATCCTAGCTATCCGCTATATACCGTGTTTCCCTCCAGATGTTGACGTCTTCATAATCCAGTCGATCACCAAGAGAGAGAGAAAGGGTGAGAGTAAGCAACCTTGCCTGATACCGGTCTTCACCTCTAATGAGTCTGTGAGCTGTCCTCCATGCACGATTTTGCAGTTTAATCCATCATAAGAATTTCGTATTATGTTGACTATCTTTTCAGGCACACCGTAGTGTCGAAGAAGCCTCCAAAGTGTTGTCCTGTCCACGTTATCAAATGCTGTCTCATAGTCAATGAAGTTGATGTAGAGTGGTGAGTTCCACCCAAATGATTGCCCCACAGTGATCCGTAATGTTGCGATTCGGTCAGTACACGATTGATCCTCACGAAATCCAGCCTGTTGAACTCGAAGTTGGGCGTCTCCGCAGTCCTTTATTCTGTTTAACAACACCCTATTGAAGACTTTTCCTGGTATTGAGAAAAGAACGATGCCTCTATATTTCTCGCACTTGCTGAGATTGCCTGTCGTTGGTATTTTGATCAGGTATCCGTCTTTCCAGTCTGTTGGTACTTGTTCTTCATCCCAAATCTTTCTGAAGAGTGGAATATTTTTGCAGTTGCTTCCACGTCTGCTTTCATTGCCTCTGCTGGAATGTTGTCTGGTCCTGCTGCTTTGCCGCTCTTGATTTGTCTGATGGCTATACTGATCTCCTCAATCGTAGGTGCGCCAATATTAATTGGGAGGTCCTTGGATGCTGCTTCGATGTTGGGTGTGTTCAGTGAAGCTGATCGATTCAAGAGTTTCTTAAAGTGCTCTACCCACCTATTTCGCTGTTCTTCAGTGTTGCTGATTACTTTGCCTTCTGTGCTTTTTACTGATCGTTCTGCTTTACGATATTTCCCCGCGAGCTTCTTTGTTGTATCGGACAATTGTCTTAAGTTTCCTTCTCTTGTAGCCTTTTTGGCTGTCATTGCTAGATGCTCCTATTCACTTGCCTGTTTGCTTCTGTGTATTCAGCTTGTGTCTTGACTCTCTCTACTCTTGTTCGGCTGATGTTTGCTGCCTTCCTGTTCCTCTTTTCTTCGATTTTTTCGAGAGTACCAACAGATATCCATGCCTTGTGATGGTACTTCTTGTGATCCAGAACCTTCTGACATGTTGATGTGATTTCCTCCTTGATCCCTTTTCAATTGTCCTCCATGGTTGTTTCCTCTCCCATGAGTAGATCGTGAAAGACCTGGAATCTATTGTTGAGGGCTATCTTAAATTCGTTGAGCTTTCCAGTATCCCGAAGAAAATAATGTGATGTTGTTCGACCTGTTATCCAGTGTTTCTTGAGTTTCAGTTTCATTTTGGCGATCATTAGGTGGTGATCTGAGGCTATGTCAGCTCCTCTCTTGGTTCTCGCGTCCTCCGCGATCCTTCTGAACTTTTTATTGATACAGATATGGTCGATTTGGTTCTGAGTAGTGTGATCCGGTGAAATTCATGTAGCTTTGTGTATGCGTTTGTGTGGGAATATTTTGCAGCCTATGACGTCGTCCTATGATGTCTTCATATCCAGTGTTGTCCATTCCAACCTTGGCATTTTAGGTCTCACATAAGAATCGTCAAATCCTTTGGTGAGCATCTGTCGACGATTGACTGCAGCCTTTGGTAGAATTGATCTTTAACGTCGTCATTGTAGTCGTTGGTAGGTGCATAACATTGGATGACGTTCATTGTAATGTCCTCTTTCTTTGTTTTGAAGGATGCTTTAATGATCCTCGGTCCATGAGATTCCCATCCTATCAGTGCCTTTTGTGCATGTTTGGACAGCATCAGTGCAACTCCTTGTGTATGTGAAGCATTTTCCTCTTCATGACCAGAGTATAACAGCAGTTCCCCTGAAGCTAGTCTCAGTTGTCCTACCTGTGTCCAATACGTTTCGCTAATTCCAAGCACCTCGAGGTTGTATCTTTTCATTTTTGCCGCAACTTGAAATAGTCTTCCAGTCTCCCACAATGTACGAACATTCCATGTAACACAAGAGACATTGACCTCGCGACTTCCGAAGAGACTCAGCTTTCATCATGAGACGTCGTAACTCTTCTGAAAGAAATTTACAATTTAATAATAACCCTTACAGGTTAACACTTTCCAAAAGGATTTCATGGGTATGATTGCGGTTTTCAATTCCTGGCTGCCCACACCGTGGAACGGTTCTGCTTTTTAAAAGAGGCATCGTCCTCATAACTCAGCTTTCATCATGCATGAGACGTCATAACTCTTCTAAATCAAGACATTTTAACTCCTAAAGCAAAGATAAAGTCACCAACCCCCAAACCTAACCATCCTCCTTTATCCAGGCTTAGGACCGGCAGTAGCCCCAACAGGGGCTCCATATGCCATTTATCCCCATAATTATTTGCATTGTAGGTATTTTAATCCCATCCGACTGGTCTCAATCACTGATTGTCCCAATCTATAAGAAAGGACAAAAGTCTTCTTGTGACAATCACAGGGGAATAAGTCTAACTAATATAGTATCTAAAATATTGGCCTCAATAATACTTCGACGCTTAACGAAAGCTCGTGAAGAGCAAACTCGAGAAAACCAGTCTGGTTTTCCACCTGGACGTGGTTGTATAGACCACATCTTCACACTACGACAGGTCCTGGAACACAGACACACATTTAGACGTCCGACAATAGTCGTGTTCCTGGACCTAAAAGCGGCATTTGACTCAGTGGATCGTGAGGTTCTGTGTCAGTGTCTGTCATTGAAAGGTGTACCAAAGAAGTACATTAACCTTATACAAGCTCTCTACTCGAACACCACTGGTCGAGTGAGAGCTTATGGCGAACTGTCACTGGAATTCTCTACATCAAGTGGTGTCCGTCAGGGATGTCCACTTTCTCCATTCTTGTTCAATTTTATCATAGACATGCTCCTAGAAATAACCTTTATCCTCGTCTGAATTTTTAGGAGTAGACCTTACCAGGTGGCTCGCTTATTGACTTAGAATATGCCGATGACATAGTCCTACTTGGTGAAGATGCTGACAAAATGCAGAGTCTTCTGACTACCCTAAGCAACAATGCAAGCATGTTCGGGATGCGGTTTTCCCCCTCGAAATGCAAAATGTTACTTCAAGATTGGGTTGCATCGGCACCTGAACTAGTGATAGGGAGTGAAGTAGTCGAGCGTGTAGTAGTAGCATTTATTAATTGTGTTCTCTCAAATCCTAATCTTCTGGATTCTTCAACACCTCTAGTTTTGACTTTCTAAACTTTTCTCACTGAATCATACTTCTTGAATAATATCTTCTAATCCTAATCTCTCCGATTACTTCTACTACCTCTACTACTTTTGGATTTGAATTGACAATCGCATCTCTGTGTGCTAATGTGGTATGGCAACATGAACTGATGTACTTACGTACCAAGTTCTACGTTGCATCTGAATGACTGACCTTTTTAACACGTTCACCATAGTTAACACTCAAAACACACTTAATCATTTTAATCTCTTATTTCGTTTTAGGATTTTTTTTAATAAATCCAGACTATCCAATCTCCGGTATTTAAAAAAATATCAAAGCATTTGTTATTTTGCCCTACTCAATGGCTTTGAACAATAAGTCACCAACAAGTTAACAATTATAAGCGTACTTCATCCACTTTGTATCATTAGCCTTTGTTGATATATTGTAATCGTTCAACAAAAAAAATGCCAGTCAAATTACTTCATTCTATCAATCCATGCTTATATTTGATTACTTCAAATGAATTAATCACATTCATTAAACCAATTATTACATTAATTAATAATACTGTCGGTGTAGCTGCATTAGCTATGCCATTCTGTTTTCATCAGGTAATTAATTAATTAATTTTATCGGTTATACATTGAATGAAATAAAATGAAATTTTTCTAGTGTGGTATTCTATTATCTTTCTTATTTCTTGGAATAACTGCCGGATTCTCGATTATGTCATGTGATGCACTGATTGATATTTGTTCCACGCATCGAGTGTTGCCATTTGAACATGCATGTAAGTTGAAATGTGATTCGGTTGTTTTATGTTGAAAATTTTTAGGTTTTAAAGCATTAGGTTATATGGGGAAAAATTTAGCTGAATTAAGGTAAGTAGTATATTTTGTGTATGAAAAGAGGATAAATAAATATTTTGTTTTAATTTTAGTGTTACTGTTCTATTGTTTGGTTACGTTGTAGGATATTATGTGACTATTGCTGATCTTAGCAGTGGAGTTGTTTCACAAATTATTGTAAATATAGTAAGTTTTGTATGTCTATCTATCTATCTATCTATCTATATATATATATATATATATATATATATCAGTTAGTCAGTCAGTTGCAACGTAGAACTACGTACGTATATACATGAGTTCATGTTGCTGCCATACCACATGAGCACACACACAGACGCAGATGTCAAATCAAATCCCATAGTGATAAAGATAGTAGATGTATTAATGGTAGTAATGAAGAAGACTAGTAGGGTTTGAAGGTGATATTATTCAAGAAGTATAATTCAGTGAGATAAGGTTAGAAAGACAAAGGTAGAGGAGGTGTTGAACAATCCAGAAGATTAGGATTTGAGAGAGAGCTCAAAGAATGGATGCACTTGTACCATCGCAAACGATTTTGAGCTATGTCGTTGTTCATGGTCTCTAACCATTGGTGACTTTCGTCTCGTGGACCCCAACCAGGTGGTCTACATCTACCAACATGACTCAGTCCACTTGTCAGTGACTTCATGGATTTTTGTCATGTTTTGGTCTGGCCGCCCCTAGCTTTCGTCCAACCTACTCCTACACCACAAAACATACCTCGACTAGGCATTCAGTGGTTAGGCATTCGTATCACATGTCCCAACCACCTCAACTGATGAATTTTCAACACTTCATCTATTGATCTGCCATCCTTACCTAGAACTCGTTTCCTAATAACAGCATTGCTTACTCGGTTGTCCCAGCATATACGAGCAATGCTTGTAAGACATCTATTATCGAAAACTAGTAACCTACGAACATCTTCTACTCTTAACGGCCATGTTTCACAGCCATATAGGAGAACGGAGCGAACTGCTGCGCAGTACACCCGTCCTTTGGTTAGCGAATGGATATCATGCCTACGCCATAAGTGACGCAGGTTGGCAAAAGCCAATCGAGCTTTCTGTATCCGAGCTGAGATTTCGCCAGTCATCATATATATATATATATATATATATATATATATATATATATATATATATATAAGGCTTAGTAATATTATCTTGATGAGTTTAGGAAGGATTTGATTTTGGCCGATTTGGTCTTGTGTGTTGTTACGGGTGTGAGGGCGGATGTCACTTCCTAGCTGTCCACACTGTGGATGAGTGTTTTTTGAGGAACCTGAAAATGAAATCGACTTAGCGTTGGTCTGAGTAACCTGAGCGTGACCGTAGAGCCTAAGGGACAAATGCTTGAGGCCGGTTGCGTATGGCTTTTTATGGGATGTTTTGGAAATGTTAGCTCGGTTCTTCCAATGGCCTTACTGCCGGAGACAGAAATCCGTGAGGTAAGGTGGAGTGTGACATTTTTAGGGTTGACCTTCCTTTGATTGTGAGAAGTCAGCACCGCCACAGATGCTGGTTGTCTGAGGGAAACACCTTGCTGTTGTCACACCCATCCACAGTCAGTAGTACGACTTCGCCCTCAGATTTTGAGTTAATGCTTTTAATCTTACCGTTCTCCAATCAACCTGCCTGGCATGGTAGTCAGTCAGTCAGCTACAACGTAAAGCTTCGTACGTACGTATGTATGTACATCAGTTCATGTTGCCATACCACATTATCACAGAGTGATGCAATTGTCAATTCAAATCCTATAGCAGTAGAGGTAGTAGACATATTAGAGGTAACAACATAGTAGGATCTAAAGGAACATGTATTCCAGTCATTGGGTCATCACGACACGCAAGTCCGACCATCACGTCAAAGTAACAGCTACAACCGGGTATCATTTTGGTATCCAATTCGAGGCAGTTTTACATTGTAGAAACCGAACCAGTCAGTAATCGAAAAGAATAAGCGACAAGGATATAATTCATGGAAAAAGTTGAGTTACTGAATTAATCAAAGGATTTTTTCTTACTAAATTATTTCAGATTAAAGGGAAAGCGAACAATGACTGTACCTGCTGTGCTATTGAAAACAATTCTGAGCTATGTTACTTAAAGACTTTTTAAACACTGTTTACTATAATCATGTACAACTCAGCCAGATAATCTCTATGAATCAACCTAGTTAGATTAGGGTTCGAACTTAAGACCATTATAAGTTATCGTTCCTGTTATACTGTGCAGTATCCAAGATCCGATAGTGATACATAATAACCCTTTGAAATGGTTACTTGAGTAAAAAGACAAGATTGGAAGTGAACGCCTATATAAACATCCATCCTCTTTAGAAAATGAATCTAGTTATTGATTGGTTGGTTCATGACTATTACACTACAAGGGTGTGAAACATGGCCACCAAGAGTAGGAGATATTCGTAGGTTACTGGTTTTCGATCATAGGTGTCTTTGAAGTATTGCTCGTAAATCCTGGGACAACCGGGTAGGCGATGCTGTTATTAGGAAACGGGTCCTAGTTAAGGGTGGCAGTTCATTGGATGAAGTATATAAATTGTATCATTTGAAGTGGTTGGGACATGTGTTACGTATGCCTAACCACCGACTGCCTCGTCAAGCTATGTTTTGTGGTGTAGGAGTAGGTCGGAAGAAATCTAGGGGCGGCGAAAACCAAAACATGGCAGAAAATCTATGAAAGTCACTGACAAGCGATCTGAGTCATGTTGGTAGATGTAGACTACCTGGTTTGGGCCAGTTAAACGATGGTAAGCGATGATTAGAGACCTTGAATGGACATGGCTCAAAATCGTTTTCAGTAGCACAGGTGTGTCTATTCTTTGTTCGCCTCTCATGATCTCATGAACTCAATACCTTTTTCTTATCTCGTTTAAATTTACTCCATTAGATTATACTTCTTGAATAATTTCGATTCCTAATCTTCTACATTACTGCTAATACTTATATTACAATCTGTGCTAATGGAACTCCGCCAGTAGTACCTTAGGGGCTACTGCTGGTCCCAAGCATGGATAAAGGAGGAGTGTTGGACATGGGGTTGGCGGCCCCCATTCCGTTGAAATCTAACTTGCCCAAAAAACGCTAACCAGAAAAAAAAATTCAAACCATTTTAACTTTGCCCTGGGAGTCGGAAGAAGAATTATGACGTCTCGTGATGAAGGCCGAGTCCCCTCGAAAGTTACGGGGCCGATGCCTCTTCTGACAACCAGAGCAACCATTTTTTTAGGTAGATGGAACGTTCGTACATTGTGGGAGACTGGAAGACTATTTCAAGTTGCGGCAGAAATGAAAAGGATACAACCTCGAGGTGCTCGGCATCAGTGAAACACATTGGACACAGGTAGGACAACTGAGACTTGCTTCAGGGGAACTGCTGTTATACTCTGGTCATGAAGAGGAAACGCTTCACATACACAAGGAGTTGCACTGATGCTGTCCAAACATGCACAAAAGGCACTGATAGGATGGGAATCTCATGGACCCAGGATCATTAAAGCATCCTTCAAAACAAACAAACAGGACATTACAATGAACGTCATCCAATGTTATGCACCTACCAATGACTACAATGACGACGTTAAAGATCAATTCTACGAAAGGCTGCAGTCAGTCGTCGATAAATGTTTACCAAAGGATTTGACGATTCTTATGGGAGACCTGAATGCCAAGGTTGGAATGGACAACACTGGATATGAAGACATCATGGGACGACATGGACTGGGAGAAAGGAACGCTAAACGGTGAGAGATTTGCAAACCTATGTGCCTTCAACAAACTGGTCATCGGTGGCACAATATT